GCCTGCATTGCCCGGCACACGGACAGACCCTCGCCCAGATCTTTGGTACTGGATCACTGTAAGATCAAAGCCTGAAGGTACAAAATTACTATGTATTTTACCTAGATTTTGACTGGCTCAAATCAAATCTTTAATGAATGAGTTGGAAAAAAGCCTGTAAGTAATACATCTATTTATTTTATTTTTGAGAGCTTTCCTTAAAAATAATAAAAATAAAAGGGCTAAACAGCTAGCTAACTAAATTTGCAGGTAGGCCCAACAGTGTATGATGAATATCAAAGGTTAGGGTACATGATGGATATCAGATAACTAGCTTTTGTTTCCTAAACTGGCTTTTCGTGACTGTTCCATTTCATACCTTATTGTGCTGTATCCTGAATTACAAGATACTGTTTACCTACTGGTCACAACAGGAAAATATGACAGATTTGTTGTTGTACAAAACTGTCACCAATTGTAATTTTGTCATTGTTCTCCTTTTTGTAGAATTTCAGTGCACTTGGATTATGAAATAACTTTATGTCTATTGACTCGTTTTTGACTTGTACATGCACTCCTACAGATTTCAACAAAAGTTGCTTGGGCATAACAAATGGTTATGTTTAACAGAATTTTGCTTTATTTCCACTTAAGCAGGTTCTAAATATACAAAAGATAAATGATAAATTGTCTTTGTTGCACTGGAATTAGCAGTGTCATCAGAATGATAGCAATATCATTGCTGTAAATTGGAAGATGGACAATGATTTTTTCTAACTTAATTTCCTGAAAAGATATTTAAATCATTATCTGAGGTATGTGTGAATGCCAAAATTCATGCTGTATGAAATCCTGAGAAAAATTATGTCAGAATGTTAAGGCATAATAAAATGACACAGTAGACTTAGAAGTAAATATATGATTCTCTTTTTAAAAGCAATATTTTACTGCATTCAGATAAACCCTTTTGAAGATCCTCTGTACAAAAAATCATTACTATTATGAATACTGGACTGGAGCATTAGAAAGAAAGTTGATTCAGAAATGTCCAGTTGTACTGGTTTTACTTTTAGAACCAAAGTGGTTTTGCTTGGCTCAACTCAGCTTGACCTGTAAGCACTGAATGTACCTGCGATGCCTGTGCTGCCCAAATACTGTGATTCAAGCGTCTATTGCTCTCTTTCTTCTCTGTGGCTTGTACTCCAGCATTATCTATAGCTCCCCTGAAGCCCTGTTTCAGAGTTGCAGGACAGAAGTGTATCACAGAAAAGGCCGTCTAAAGAGAGAGAAAAATGGAGAGAATGGTGGCTTGAGGAAATTGCACTATAATTCTTGTGAGCCCTGACACAAGTTTCTGCTTGACAACCTAAACCAAAGTATCTTAGTCAATTTGACATATGAAATAGTTTCACACTAGGAGGCCCTGACTTTCTAAATCAACACCTTTTTTTCAATTTTTTTTTTTCTGAAAGAAAATTAAAACTAGAATTTTCCTGCACAAAGCAGCATTTTTAAGGAAACTACATTTCCCCCTGATAACTGGAAAAAAAAATATCCTGAGCCACTCTACTTAAAACATGATGTTCCAAATGAGCATTTATTGTATTTTTTCAGTGCCATTCAGAAATTATTACAAACAAATCTCTAATATTTTTATTTATGAAAACACAATAACACTGTAATAGTAATTATATTTTAAATAGAATGAAAATGATGCATTTGGTTACTCAATAGTGAGGAGAATTTGAATTATGCAGTTATGCTAATTCAAGCAAAACAGTAGACTTTTTTTATTTTTGCTTAAATTGAGTGGTCTTTTCATATGACAAGTAGTAGGTGCTGCTCACAACAGTTTGAATATCTTATTACCACAAAATCAGGACTGAGTAAAAAGAATCGAAACCTGCACTTCAAATTCAGACAGTGTTCCCAAGATAAAAATCTAATGAGACCCTCAGCCTGTGGCTCTGTTTTCTTCCATGGCAGTATACTTTTCATGCTGCCAAGATCTCAATGAGCCTGTGTAAAATTGTAGGATCCTGCTCTACAAATCCCAAGTAAAAAAAGAAAGCCATAGACTCGGTGTTGCACGCTGCTGACACTTTAATAAGAGGTTTTTGCTTGAATGGTTTAAAGCAGGATTAATATCACTACTCAAAGTTTTCTTTCTTTCCTGAAAACCATTCATTCTTCATTATTAAACAACATGACTAAAGGTAGACAGCAAGAGTGCTTCTAAATTACAACTGAAGTAAAAGAAACAAAACTAATGTCTGTTAGTCAGGATTAAACTATATGCTATTTTTTAAGAGTAAAGCTAGAAAAAAGAATTTGCACAGAATTTTTAATGAACCGAGTGTTTGTTCACATCTCCAGACACGTTTTTCTTCCACAGTTTGAAGTAACCTAAAAATGTCCATGTCTCACTAAGAAAACAGTTTTAAGAAAGTTTGTAAAAATTACACAGCAATAGATATTAATGTTCAGAAATGCACTGGAAATGTGCTGAAGGATAGTGTTGTCACTGTTGTTTGATGTGAGACACCGATGTTAAAAAATGCTAGAAATCTTTCAAGAAATTGTATTAAATAATACGCTATTTATCTTTAAAAAGTTGGTGAAAGATAGTACTAGAAGTAGACAACCACTACATAACCAAAAGCTGTACTTTGAAAAAACATTTTTTCTCTATTAATTCTTCCCCTTTTTATTTCTAGACATGCAAGAGACCATAGTTAGTTCAGATGCTCATACTTCACACAGCATTCCTGTTTAAGAGGGTCACAAAGAATTCAGCATGTGCTTCTGAAGACTAGGTATTACTTTGAAGCACAATTCGGAAAAATATTTCTGATTTTCGTAAGATGATTATGGAAATATTTACAAAAGACTTCATCTTTTTTACATTAAAAATATCTCTAATGGGCTTTGGCTATATTGCATGGCCAGAGAGTCCAGAGAGTCATACATATTTCAAATACTTGTTTTTTTATGTCAATAGGTAGTTAGCAAAATGAAAGGGAACTTGTCAGCATTTTAGTGAATTTGAGCATAAATTTTGCAGATACAAAAGGATACAGCTTTATATATTAGTACCTATTTTCCTTCTTTAAAGAATAGTTCCAGAAACCATACTTACAGTTGGTACGTAACGTATAGAAGAGACTAATCCCACTGAAGTCAATGCAATTTTAGTGATACTTAAGATAATCAAGGCTACAGGATGAAATAAAAATAGCAATACTTCAGATATTACGGGGAGAGCATCTAGCACGCTGAGTTGCTTCAGAAGAAAACTTGAAGCCGTGGCAGGGACCCTTTCTCGAGGTAGCCTAGGATTTTATCATGACTCCCGGGGATTACTGGTGTTAATGCTTGTGGCATTGACTCAGAGGGCACTGCAGGTTGTGGTTGACAGCGGATCTAGTTGCATTTCCAAAAGCATCTTTTAAAAAGCCTTTTCCTGATATCAGACTCAAAAACTTGTCATCCAATTCTTCTGAGATGAGTTAATCTGGATACGCAACTGAAAGTTTCTTCTTTTTATAGAGTGGGAGGTTCACAGACTCTTAAACTTTTCACTAACATATCCATCAAAGCTGAAGAAGCAAATTTTGAGGAAAACCTACTGATTTGGTGGTCTAGCAGAAAAAGCTAGTCCCTCTGTATAACTCTATTGTATTTACACTGAAGCGATGTTGCGTACACTATCGTTACTATACATATGATACAGAAGTAAAATTTGATAGATACTATATTTCAGTATTTTGCTCCTTCAGATAATATTCTAAGCCACGTTAAGGTATTATTAGAATAACAGAGTCCAGTAGAGCTGTTTTTCTGGGAAAATAAAAGCCAGATTTAATTAAGATTATAGAATCATAAAGACTTTTTCAATTAAGACATTCAAATAAACTTTTAAAATATCAATGCAAAATACATTGACATATGAAATAACAATTCTCCACATTGCTTATTAGCAAATTTATATTGCTCCCAAGTGTTTTTTTTCTTTTCATGAAGGACTTCAGCTACCAGTGTCAGTGATACAATACTTGCTATTGCCTTCCCACGTCACAAAGCTTCTAAGACTTTATTTTCTTGCCAGTATTAGAAAAGAGAACTGGCATGGTATATTATAGCCCTCTTAATATAACCTGACATTGGAGACTTAAATGATAGTCATAGTTTGGCACAAAATCTGACTAAGAGCTCCTGGTTGTCACTGAAGTCCTTTTAGATTTAAGTAAAGCTGTAACAATAACGGAGAAAAGATGAAGCCATCATCTTCCTGGATGACAGTGTCAACACGGCAGCGCCGGTTGCAGCGAATTGCTGGTAACGCTCCTTGCCATGAGAGTAACAACATGGTAGGCCGTGGCAGAGAGTTTGTTTTACTGAGAACTTCAGAAAGCAATGAAAACGTATTGTGTTTGTATGATTATTATTTATAACTATTGCTGGTGATTGGAGGAACGATTGAAAGTGCCGTTTTGTAGCGCTCCTTGAGTTACATGCAAAGTAAAGTGATGCATTTGAAAGTGCTTATTTAGTCTTGAGTTGACTAATTATTAATTACATTCTTTTCCTGTCTTGTCAGTGAGGGGCTGTTAACCCAAATCTACTTACTGTGGGAGATCACTCAGCAGTACAGTATTTTAACACTTTTTTATATGACATTAATTCATGCTGATACTGCATGCACACAAGGGTCCCCTCTCACTGCTCCGCTCGGTAATCAGATCTGTCGCCAAAAACATTAGTATCTGTTTGTACACTTGTAGTGCTAGATGGAGAGAAGGAAATAAATTTAAAGCTAACTTAAACTTTCCCTTCACTGACAAAGTCCTGCATTTGACCTTGAAATGGGGCACCCTTCGGAGATCCTCACACATACAGGAATCCCTGAAACTTTAGCGCTATTTCCTAGTTATAAATAATAACAATATTCTTGGTGGGTGGCAGCTAACGAGTGTTGGTGCAAATGGTGATTTCGGCACGAAGGGGCACCAGCGGAGGCCTTACTGACTGGAGTACTGCACAGTGCTGTACTTTGTCACTCTCCTTCGGGAGGTGCCAGGGGATGCCGTGCCCATTGCCTGGCCAAGGTCGGCACTGAGCATCTGACCTGCGCTACTCAGGCCCCCCAGATTTGCCCCCCCTAGGCTTGTCCCCCCCAGGCTGCTCATCCCAGACCCTGACACTACCCTCTCGGTGACCACCACGTTGTGGGCATTTGATAACTCCGAGGGAATATTTATTAAGCTGCCTGGCATGCCGGAGGCAGGCCTGAACACCCTTTCGGTCACCACCACATTCGACCCATCTACCAAATCAGGAATGCTCAGAGAGGTCGGGAGCCGGGAGTTAGGCGCGATTACTCTTTCCGTGACGATAACATTGGACCCGTCTGCGAGATCGGGGATATCTAGCATGCCACGCAAATCAGAGGCAGATGCAGGACCGACAACCCTTTCTGTTACAACAACGTTGGATGCACGCAGAGGGTCGACACAAAGAGAGGGGGAGCCGGAGGTGTAGGTCTCAGTCACCGTCATGTTGCCATGGAGCAAAGGATCCGGCATCGGCCTTGGGGGCTGTATGGTTGACCCAGATGTGTAGGTGTTTTCAGTAACAACCGTTGTAGTACCGACTGGGGGAGGCATAGGTGCACCTCCGTTGACAATGATGGTGGTTCCAGGTGGTGGGAGGTTTAGATCACTTTCAGGGTTGGGAAAGGAGACGTTAACGGATGGCCAGGGTGCGTTGACATCAGGGAAAGGTTCGATCTCTTTGCCCAGACAGATCTCTGCCAAGGTCTTAAATTTTGGTCCTAATGTATCCAAATACGTTTCGTCTGTATCTTCTCCAATAAAGCTGCAGCAACCCACAGAGCCAACAGGAGTACCAACTCCTTCATGATCATATATTAATAGGCAGTCATTTGCTGGCCGACCTTCATCTTCATCTGCATACACAAATGCTTTCTGTAGTTTGCAAAAACAGAAAAAAAAGTAGAACAGAGTGGCTTTTCATCAGGTTTTCAACCATGAAGACTCAAACCATAGTAAGGGTTCCCTAACCATAGTAAGGCCCAGCTGACTTGAAAAACAGGACATCAACTGGAAAAATTATATCATCAACATTTTTGTGACCTTGAAATAAGTTTTATTCAAATGTTACTTATTTTATTCTTGTTTCTGCAAACACTTAGCATCTCAAATTTGGTCTGCTGTCAGTGGGTCTGACTGTGGTGTGAAGGGAGAGAGCAAAAGGGATGGGGGAATGAATGTACTCTTTGGGCAGCAATATCCAGACTAAGAGGTAGGAAGAGGAGTGAAGCAGGATGGCGAGGGGAGCAGTGGAGAGGCCAGGACAGAGGGGATGGGATGGAGGGTTGGCCACAGCAAAGAAGGCTTGGTGACCCCAGAAGGGAATCCATTTTGAGCATGATGGAGATCACTGATTTGTGATGGCCTTGGGGATGGTGGGGTGGTCAGTGCAGAGGGAGTGGGCAGGAAAGAGGAGAATTTAAAGTGAGTGAGGGGTGATGTTGGAGGAAGCAGGGAAGGACAGAAGGGGACGCCTGGGAGGGAGAGGAAGAGGGTTTGGAGATTGAGATGGTCAGTAGGAGGGGTAATCTGTGGGGGCCTATGGCTGGCAGACAGTTAATATGTAGTGCTCCCAGCCTGGGCAGGGGGATCACGGTCTGGGAGAAGTCCATGCTCAGGACTTCAGGACTGTTCTGTCCTTTCCTCCACTGAATCTTGTTTAGATTTTGAAATACAACAATCCTTATATATTAATTGATATTCTGGTGACATAAGCAATTATAGTATTTATGCCTCACAGTTCTTGCTAATTATGAAAATATGTCCCATTAATGCATTAATCATGTAAATTCCATAGCATGGAATATCCCGTATGTTAAGGCTAATTAATATGTTGCCAATTGCAAAACTGCATATTTGTGTCACTTGCAGTTCACAAGTCTTTTAGGGAGTAGAATTGGCAATAAAAATAAGGAAGAAAGTGAACAGTTCTTTAAGGGTTAAAGTCACTTCATTAAACAAACTGTAGAGGAAGTACATGTGAACAATTTCACAAAGTTATCTATTCATACATTGAAAAAGGTGGCAAATACATAAATTTGATGGTCAGTTATGAAGCTGAAATAATTTAATTGCTTGCTACCCATAACTGCACTGTGTCCACCAGTTTTACAAAAAGGCTGTTGAGCAATCAAATCTACTATGCCAGCAGCTCAAAAGCAGTACTACTAGTGTCATAGTTTTCCCTACTGGTATGGTCAGCTTTGCTCTCACACCAGTCGTATACCATGGGAATTCCAAATTGAGTGAAGCTATTTTGGTTTTCTACTATATAACTTGGGAAGGAGAATCTAACAGTAGGCAGACAGATATAATGCAAAGAAAATCAGGTAAAAAAATCAGGTAATTACCTCAGAGAAGTAGTTGTCTAGGAAGGCCATGTTCACCCCTCCTTCTCGATACTCTTTTATTGTTCCTCCAATTGACCCTTTTGCTTCCCCTGTTCCAGAAATTCCTCCAGCTGTTCCGTAACCAGTACCAGTGCCATAGCCTACCCCTGTAGTTTCTTCAACACCAGAAGCTACTACTCCTCCTCCTCCATATGTGTTTGTATATATGTCTGAAAACAGAAAAAGAAAAGTTATCCTTCCTGTGCTCTGCAAAAGTTTACACAGAATTTGCCAGTTGTTTTTACAAATAGTACAGTGACACTACTGGGTTTGTAAAGGTATTTTAGACTAATTTCAGTCACAGATCCATGCACAGGTGCCAAATGTTGAAACTGCAATAAAAATTAAGCGCATATTACCAGGCATCTAAGACCTTGATTTTATTCCTGAGGCTAGGCAGCATGTGCATATGTGCTTTAGAAATCAATGATTTACTTGTGTAATTGACTGGAGAGATTCCTCTGTCTGGTGTACATATATGCTGTCATGGGATTTGCATTATAAAATCAGATAATGCTTATGGATATTTATGCAAATACAGAAATGTGTATTTATGATCACATTGGGGTTAAAATTATTTTGCCTTAAACTCTTTTCTAAAAGAAATAGCTTTGTAACTCCTTTCACATTTTCTAGTCATTAGATTGTTAAGGGGGATTTGGGAGAACAACAGTGGATCATAACTACCAGTGTTCATAATGCAGAATGAAAATGACCTTTACAATAAATTACGAAGTCATACTTACAGGATTTTATCTTCTCCAGATTTTTTCATATATGGTAAAAAGGAATAAGTGGTCTTAAATATCAGCATGTAATATAATGAACCAATTGCATACAGTAGTCTTGACTATGATTACATTAAGAAAAATAGGGTAAATTATATAATTTTTTTCATTTAATCTTGTTAGTCTCAGTTTATGGACTTTGAACCAGGAGCTTTCACCAAAATGGTACTGAACAGTGGAAATCAGGTAAATCGCATGTGTAAGTCTTAAACTTTTCAATTGTCATGGCAGCAGAACTTCCCAGAGAATGAAGACTCTTAATTCACATTTATGCCCCAAAATGTTCTCTTTTGATTTTACCTTAAGGATGAGAATATTTTTGAATAATCAATAATCATCAGAGAAGTTGTCTTGCAGAGTGATATTTGTTCCTGTCAGAAGCTAGTGATAATGAATCTGTGCCAGCAGCCTTCCTTTCTGTTGTGGAGTAAGGAATGGGGAAAAAGAGAAAGTGGCCCTGCACAGCTTGACTTATTGTCTATGGCCATTGAATTCCTGGGGGAACCTTATCTCAGAAGCATAAATTTATTGTGCTATGCACCAGCTTTCTGTCTAGGCTAGTGCACAAATGGTCAGTAATTAACTGGCTACTTGACAGGTCCTATTCTCCCTTTTGGGAAGCAGAGCCTGGAAACTGGGAAGAACTGAACCTTTCACTACTGAGTTATGAAAGAAAATTTCCCTATTCTGGCCTCAAGATTGCTTTCTACTAAAACCGGCATCTTGAAAAGACCCTTCATTCACTAGCTGGCATGATAAAGAAAAATTGCCTGAGATTTGAAAACCTTGGCAGATATTTCAAAATAAATGTAGTTTGCATAAATGAATCTGCTCAAAGGCTCAAAACTCAGATCGTTTATTCATATTGGAAGTCCTACTAACATCAGTTTGACTATCTGCAGATGTAAGATTGGAAGGGTTGGGTTATAGCTGTGAAACCAAAGTGGTCCTTGAATGAGAAAACATGAAGTTCTGAAAGACAGCTTTATGACAGTGCACACAGAAAATTTTAGTATCTGCTTACCAGAGGGTTCACCAAAATCACCTCCTGCAGCTGTTGTTGGGGCAAGAATGTGTGAGACATCCTGGAAAACAACATTTTGACTACTTTAAAGATGACTTTGAAATTCCCATATGAAGACCAAGACTTTGTGAATCTTGTTAAGGAATTAGCAGTCTAAACTGTTAATGATAGTTATTAATTACCATCCCCATTAAAAAAAAAAAGACTCCAAGTTTTTTTCATTGTCAATGTAAAAGGTGATCAGTGAAGACAGTTTGTGTTACCTTGTCCTACTTTGCACTGAAAATATTTGCTAGTTATTGTGTTTCAGCTGGGGGAATAGTAACACCAAACTGTTGGGCCAAGCTAACTGAACACAACTTAAAACACACAAACTCCATCTGCAAATATTAATCAAGAATCACTTTTCCTATCTGCCTGACATTTGTTGACAACACCAGTCTTCTTTTAGAAGATGACACAGTGCTACAATCACTTTCATGCTTCTAGTCAAATGCAGTCTTTTCTGTAAATGACGGTTACTGTCGGTTTTAGAAACATGGGATGTACTGACCCTGTCTTCAGGCTGTGCACCTTCTATTCCCCATGGATGAATTGCTCCTTCTGTGCATTCAGGTACAGGTTCAAATCCAGTTCCAACTCCACCTGCAGCGCCAGGTCCACAGCCACAACAGTCGCTCATTGACATCAAAATTGGAATCACTTAACAGGAACGAAACAGGGAACAGTGATTTAGGACATCTCTTCCTCACAGGAATAGCTGCTTTTCCCAGAGGGCAGGTGCTCAAGAAATTTTGAAAATATATCTTTTAAAATGTTTTAAACCAAGCAGCCTGGAAGTCTGGCTTTCAGAATCATTAGCTGCTTTTGGAAATGTATGTATTTGGAAATTCAGAATAATTTGTACGTTTAGTTATAGCAGAGCAAAGCGGGGGTGGAATAGGGCTGTTACTCCAAATTTATGCCTATACACCTGGGAACAGACTTTGATCTATCTCAGCTGAATGAATATAAGTTGCATACATATGAAAATTAAACAAACAGAACCGGTCTTGCTATGTATAGCATTCTTGATATGTAAGCATACATTTGTCTTTTCAGATATTGTAATTGAAAAGAAATACACATTAGTAATAATAGACATACGAGAATCAGTGGAGATATCTCCATCTGGCTACAGTGATCTTTGGCTAAGGCTCCAGTTGCATTTTTCACATCACATATACATAATACTTGATTTGAAAAAAACAAGAAAGGCAACCCCCAAACCCCAGTTTCAACAAATTATTACATGGAGTGAAACAGGTTTCCCAGTGTGCTGTATTATGCTTAGCTGTTTCAAGAAACTGTTGGAAATTGCTGAATGCTTTGAACACGAACATTGAAAACATTGCTCCTTTTAGAAAGGCACTGCAATATTAATTCTGGCTGTCTTTATGTCCTTAACCTAGATGGCTAAGTTAGTAACCTTGTGTCACTGCAGAAGGAGTGGGAGAGACAGTTGCCTATACCAGACTAAGCAGAGTATCTAAAACACTCAGTTTAATGTCAAAGTGAACTGAAAAGAAAAGGGAAAAGGGCTATACAGTGTATAAAGTGTTACCTCACGCTGCACAACTAAGGACATATATACTCCAGACTACCCACTAGGAGAGATTTCCAAAGGCAGAAAGATGGTCCTGTAGCATTAACCACCTGGGAACTACAAACAAAACAGCCTTTTGCAGCTTCAAAATGTTGTGTTTGTTGATTCCTACTAATCAAAGATCAAACCCCAAAACAAACTCCCTTCCTCAAAAAATCAGGGGAAAAATCCATTTCTTCTGGTTTTGTAGTCAGCATTTCTGCATTGAAAAATTTTAGATGTTAATTGCTTGATGCTCAGGCCATGAAAGACAGACAACAGACACATCTGGTTGTGGTGGTCTGAGAAGTAATTGCTTACATAAAGTCTAACTTGAGTCATTCTTATCCCTGAAACTCCTATTTCTTCAAAAATACTAGGATATGTGAATGAATGATCTGTTTTGATCCTGTTATCACAAATGTTACTTGTTTTTAATAGATGTAATGTTTGGCAGCAATAGCCAAAATGTTCAAAATTTAAGATGATTATATTTTGTTCTACAATGAAGTCTGGCTTTTCATTCAAAGGAAGCTTGTCCTTTACATCTTTTTATACCCAGCTTGGTGCTGATACTAGTCCATTTCTTTTAGTAATGTAACGGAAGTATGAATTGCAAAGTGTAAGTTGTAAGTGAGAGGGGCAGCTCTTGCCCAAAATCTGAATCTTCTACTAAACATTTTTACCCTGTCCAATGGTCTAAGAACTGGATAACACCTTAGGAAAAAACCCCTAAGTCTTAGGAAGGAAATATTTATTTCTGAATGAAATATGTATAGAAATATGTAGAATATAAAATATATAGAAATTCTTAAAATTTAAAAGACGGGTTTTTTTCTGTCAAATGGCCCACGGGAGCCAACAGGTTAACAACCAACCAGAAAACTCACCTTATTTCAGAAGAATTAAAAAAGTAATTTTTTTTTAGAAAATTAATAAAATTATTTTCTAAATTTTGTACTTACGAACAAATATTAATCCACCGAGAAACATTAGGCCAATGGCAGCACCGCTAAGTGTGGTGGAAGGTGCATTTCTGCCATAATTTACAGTTCCATAATCAGTGGCTGAGGTAAATCCTCCATCACTGTATCCATCAGTGTATACTGGGGTGTCTGTGTAGTAAGTTTCTCCTTCAGTTCCACCATTACCATCATCTCTTCCTTTATCAGGAACAGTACCTTCACTGCCATCATCACCACCAATGATAATTACTTTTGTGGCCCCGCTGGTGCAGTAATTACGACTATCACACTGACAAGCTTGCACAGGAATTACAAGTGGTTTAGGGCAGCGTCGGCCTCGGTTATCTCTTACGACGATATAGATCCTATAAAGGTAAAAGTCCATGCTCTGACTCACTAGTTCTGCAGAGGAAGCTTTAGGGGGGAAGGAAAAAAAGAGAAAAATATTTAGAATAAAGTATTGACTAGAAATACTGTACAAATCTATAATTTTTGTGAGTAATGTTTATAGAACAGAATGAAGACTAAGTGTTCCCATTCTAAGATCTTCAGTTACTCATGCATCTACAGTACTTATTCAAAGCTGAAACTTGTGATATTCATCTGCACTAGTTGTTTTGGAAAACCTGAGCCAGATCAGTCTAGTTGTCACTTTTTAACCTGAGCAATATAAAAGGGACAAATGAACTTTTTTGTATCTACTGCTGCTTTTCCTGATTTTTATTCGCACAATGGTGAACATACAAATTGCAAGTTTTACAGATTTGTTTTTCTCTTGCAAGGAACTTACGTGTATTTTTCAAAATTTTTTTCAGTAGTTTTAAGATATTTAAAGTTACATCTGTTTGGAAGAAATAGGAGACACAAGACTCGTCGTAATTGTGATATTTACCATTTAATGTAGTCTTCTAGGCATACAGTAAGTTATGCAAATTCTGTCATTTAGTAATGTATGAGATTTGATTAATTCATTAGTTTGTTATGACCTATTGGAGGAAACTGGAAAAGCTCCACTGGGCACTAGCTAAAATGGTTTTCTTAGAAATACAAGTAAATACGATTTGTACAAAAAAATTGCAAAAGCTGTAATCTTTATTTGCCATTTGCATATGCCTTTCATAAAGTAAAACTCTGCCAACTAATAACTTTATAGCCTAATAAATAAATTTGAGAGTTTTGTCATATGCTTAGAATTTTATATAATATAGAAATAAAAATATATCAAATGACCTCATTAGGTTTAGACCAATAGGGGTGCTTATCATACTCAAGTAAAGTACAGTTTTGCTGCTCTATTTTTATCAGTATATTTTTAGTTTCCTTTAAAAGATAACTAGATAAAACACATGTAATGATTCTGATTCTAGTTCTAATATGATTTTTATATTTTTTTATATATATATATGTGCAAATCCAGACCAACTTCTTGAATTCATATAAGCATAAAATCACATTTAAGTGAGATTAGAATAGATTCTAGTAACTGTTTTTTTGTTGTTGTTAAAAGGTTATCCTAATCTGTTATCTTAGAGAAGAGCTTATTACTATGGCTTATTCTGTAACAAAATGTAGATTAATTTACCATTTATTGATCTGATAATCCATGTGGTTTGAGGTTCACCATGTATGTTGAATGTAAAGGGGGGAGCATATGAAGCACCTTCTATATGTTTTGCTGTGATAATCACTGATGGGGAATGCATACATACTTTCCTTAATTCAGTATTAATAGTTGGGCAATTGTCATTGATGTCTTGTATTGAAAGCACAATGGTGCCAGTAGCAGTATGTTGAGGAACCCCTGTAAAAAGAAGATATTTGTGATGAGGAGGGAATATCAATACTATAAATAATGCAGTTCAGGTGGGAAAACTAGAAACACGAAAAAAACATTGAGAGAAATCTGGAACAAAGAGAGTTTTGTTTCAGAAAACTTAATCTCTTTTCTTACCTCTGGTGATAGCCAGAACCTCTGCTCTGTACTGCCCGTTCATTACATAGATTGATTCCCGGTCAATAACTTTGTTCAGTGTGATTTCACCAGTGTTTTGATTGATTCTGAACCAGGCACCTGGATCACGTCCTATCCTATATCTGTATTTGGTGAAGTAAAAATACTCAGCATTATGTTATGAATATATGTATTGCATATTCATTTTGCAAACAATATTTGTCATTTTGAAATATTTTTCTTTAGGCTGAGCTAGGTCCTATTGCATTTCATCCTGTTCCAGCAAAATTGCTGTAAACTTCAAAAGACGTAGTCTAGAAAAATAATTAGGAATAAAGTAAATGCATAGAAGTCCATTAGATTTTGAAAGTGGTATCATAGTCTAAAAGTAAAATCTTTCTGGACCCTGTAAACCTTTACTAGAACCCTTGTTGATATCATTAGTTAAATCCACAGCTCTTCCTATAACATTCTACGGTTGTATTTGCTAACATATTTCTCCGGTTTATGAAAACTTTTCAAACCTTTGTAAATTGGATCTATTTATTTCTACATACATTAAAAAGCAAATGATGGTCCCATTAATTATCATTCATTTCAGCAGAAATAAATGTAAATTTTTTTTTTTTTCATTTTTATGATAGAATGAGCTGGTAGTGACCTCTTCTATTCTGATTGTGTAATATTGCACATTATTGGGGTTTTCTGCTTGCTTTTTTAGAGATGCTAAAAAATTCCCTTTTTGTAGCAAACATTTCAAGAAAAATATTCTTAGGTTGGGTTAGAAAAAAAACCCTGTTCTGATTTATTTAAATTACAGCCTGTTAGAAAAATGATATTTTCTTTGTCTTGTGCACAAGGCTAAGGAAAGCAGGTCAGGAAACAAAAGCAATCATAGCATAAAGATTGGCTGAAGCATGTACTATTCTATTGACATTATTCTATTGCTAATATATTAACATTTTTTAAATTGTTTTTTAAAGCACCCTTTAAAATACCTGTTCCTCATCCCATTGAAATCTCAGTTAAAATAATTATTCAATCCAGGGAGTTAAACAGAGCAGAGCTTACATAACATTTGATGCAATAGCTCCAGTGTCCTCATCGATGGCTGTGTATGTTCCCACAACAGAATTCACTCTTGTGCTTTGTGACATGGAAAACACAACTGAAGATGGATGAAATCTTGGTGGTTCAATCAAATTTTTCACTTCTATTGTGAGGGGTGTTCCAGACATTTGGAAATCTTGTGCAACAGAGTGATGGAAGGGAGCTACATTCCTGACAGCAATAAGCAGTGAGTGAGTCTGGAGATGTTCGTAATTCAGTTCCTAAAAGATAAACCGCAGACAACTAGGTAATAAGTAAAAGTTCCTTTAATTTTATTTAAATATATTCTATTTTAAATGGTTGACTGACAGTGTTTTTACTGCTTGTTTAATTTTGTTAACAATTAATTAAAACTATTTTAAGGTGATTATTTCAACAGCTGAATCACAATATTTATCCATACCTTAATTACTCTAAGGATTCCTTGATTTGTAGCTCGATCTGTAACAATTTCAAACCAGTTATCTTCATTACCGGATATAAAGAAAAACTCTGCTAACCAATTGTCTGAAAACTCTTCATCAGCATCCAGAGCTTGTATTCGTAGCAGTTCTGAACTGAGTGAATTTTCTGAAATACTTGCTGAAAACTGGAATGACAGATAGATACCTATTAACAAACATTAAAATACATATAATGTGAGGAAAACACAGCTGACTGCAGAGATTCTTTTGAAGGATGTCCTGCTCACAGTCCATGCCAATTTAATGAAAATCATGTGTTCTGGGTAAATTGTGATTCTGGTTGCAGATCTCAAGAGTCGTATCACCTCAAGTGTTTGCAGAGGCAGCTTAGATGAAATGGATTTGTGCTTTGTATGAGAAAAGATCATACAGAGGTTGGGTTAATCTGTGTAATCTGGCTGTATTGCATGGGTCTGGACACCTGAATGACTGGATTTCTCTGAATACAGAGAAGTCAGTGTCAGGACTGACTTCTCTGAATACAAAAATAATCAATGTGTATGTTATCAGAATTGGTGCGCAAGCGACAGATTGGATTTTGAGCACGCTTCAAGGAAACAACCCAGTTAATCCAGTGGAGCATTCCAATGTGAAAGTGCTCTACAAATTAGTAGGGGTTCTGTTATCAACTGGTTTTTTGAACAGGGTTTTAAAACAGTGATGTTGCTTTTGCTATTAAAAACTTACAGAGCTTTGAGCAAGAGTTGGGAAGTTGTCATTGACATCAATAACTTTAACGTTACAGCTACAAAGGGATGATATTCCATCTGCAGCTCCATCCCGATCTGATGCCTTCACAATAAGACTGTAGCTACTATGTTGCTGTCACAGAAAGAGAAATGAGTGTGTTAGAAGCACCACCTGTACATCTTAATATATATAAATTATATTATATAT